GCTCGTATTTTAAATTTTGCACCATCTTATCACTACGTGCTTAGGCCGAACTGCTCTAGAGCCGTTTTCTTCCAGAACAAAACGTATCAGATGGCGTTTCGTTATCAAATAGGATTATACCGTTGTTCGGAGCTTTCTTTTACAACGCATTCGCTGTCCTCAAGTGTTCCTAAACTATTCTTCTGATAGAAAGGTTCTCGTCAGCTCAAAGAACATGATTTCCTTCGTCGAAAAAGTGGCTATCAATTCTCAAGGCGGAACTGAAAAAAACCACTAAGGAGTGGTCTTTGCTATTATTAGTGCTGCCAAAAAGCTAAATTCATCTAAGCATAAAAGAAAGTATGGCACTATTTACCCTTTACTGCCCAATTCTCTAAAAATCCCCAGTTCTGATTAAAACTACTACTTCATGAGCTGATTTGGCGGCATTTCGCCCTTGTATAGGAACACCCACTTGGTTTAAACATGTCCCCAAAAGTATAGTGACCGCATGGATATGAACATCACACCGGATAGATTAGGGCGGAAACAGGCGCATTTCAGTGGAGAGGAGGGCATTTTGCGCTTTCAGTGCTCCACTAGTTCCGGCTTACAATTCCCACTTTGGTGAAACCTGTGAACACTTGTGAAGCTGGAGCAAGCTCGTAGAGCTACCACGCTAAAACTTGTCAATTCACGAAAAGATGGGATGGGCCTCCTCTAGATGGGTCTGAAACTGAATCAACTCCAGGCCAAAACCACCAGTGAAAAAATTTCGGCGCTGTATGTCGATAGCGGGGCATTTTGTACCCTCATTGCTTCCCCAGTTCCAGTTTACAAATCTCACCTTGATAAAACTCAGCTGGTGCAGATAGTCTAGCCACCATCCTAAAACGTGTCAACTCGAGAAAAGGCTACCTAGATGGGTCGGCACATCTATGGAAAGCAGAATGCCCCCCGTCGACAAACTGCGCCAAAACTTCGATCGAAGGTGGCAGTGAGGCGTAGATAGTGCAGAAGGCAGTCACTGAATTACTAAAAGGATGATAATCAGATGAAACGGAATGGCATACCCTTGCTACTTCTTCTGCTGCTGTAAAGAGTTATTTCTGATTTCAGATCCGATGCATCCGATCGTCGCGATCGCGGTGTGGACGAAATGACCAGCGTCCTCAAGCTCCAGAACAAGTGTAGGTGTTTATTCAAAACTATACTTTCATAAAACCGTAAATTTGAAGATTTCTTTTACGCACTGGGGTTGATAGGTGGAACTCTACTAATGGCCTGATGTCTCGTCTAAGTTGCCTTCATCAAGGGTTCCAAGTGGGCAATGAAATTGAGAAATTGTTCGCTCTACACCGTCGAACCCCTCTCCCTCTTAGAATTTCTGACAGTTTCAGGAGTTTTACCCATGTCCGAAAAAAAAACTCCTGTGTCGAGCCTTATCCAGTGTGCTAACCTCTGGCTTCCTGGGTTCATCCAGTTGGAGCTGAACTTGTCTCCAAAGGCAAAAACATTGGCTCGCACAAGCCATGTGCAGGCCAAATGGGCATTCAAATAGCACCACGACACAGATGAAACCTTTCTGAGGCGTGGTGCGCCCGAAAAAGGGGAACTTGATCTGCTTGTTCAACAGACTCAATCGAAGTAGTGCTTACTTTCAGAGACCGCTCAGGAGTGTCATGGTCACCTGACGGAAGGACTGGTAACAGATACTTCGAGGCTAATGGAAGATACTACGTTGAAATACAGGTGAGTGCTCCTATTAAGAAACAATCACCTCGACGGAATTCGCAGTTCTCATTTCCCGCTTTTGTTCTGTCATACTCGCTGCGGATGGTGGGGCGTTTCAGAGCCGCTGGATTTGGCGCAGCGCCAGCCCGTTTTCCACCAAATCTGGAAGCTGGCAGGTGACCATAACTGGTGGGTAACTGGCTGGCGCAGCGCCAGACCCAGCCGCTGAAGTGCTCCAACGCCTGCAGCGAAGAGGTGTTAAATAGAGGAGGATAGTGCAGTGACAACGAACGGTGCATCGATTCCACACTTGAGCGGAGTTTTGCTTCAAATTAGACGAGTTTTCCGGACGGATGGTCGGTACCAAGCTTTTTTAAGGTGGAAAAAGGCTGACTTATGCATATAATGCCAATATCAATATGCCGTAAAAAACATATGCCGAGGGGGAACCCAGGGTCTGGTTTTCTGCTGCCCTTTTTCTCGTTTCTCTTCTCTTCTCGCCCTTTTCTCTCTTCTCTTCCTTCTTCATTTCTGAGCATCATATCGAGTGCTGTTTCATTATTGGTCCCCATGCTTTGCCAGTCGCAGAATGCGCCGTCAAGTATCGAAAATCGAACGTGATCAGCACTTCTTAAGTTACGCGAAGGGGTAAGCCGTGACTTGTGCTGTTATATATGACGTCTATCTGGACAGGAGCAGCGCCATTCCCATGCAATCTCGTTGCAAACCGATACTGCAGAGCTCAGAGAGGCGCCTCATGGCCTCGAAATGCTTGAACCAGAACCCACTTCCAAAAAAGGTGGACCGAAGGTATTCGGTAGTTGGCATAACGCTGGCACCATAGTAATGTGTCACTATGGAGCCTGACGGAAAACTTGAAAGATATGACGCTCAAGAGCGTATCCCTCCTCCTGCCCTCTACAGCACAATCCTCACTAGGCCGAACATCAGAATAGTTTCTTTCACTCTGATCATCTTGCCAGCCTTATCTTTGCTCGCTTGAGGGCTCTGGTGGCTTCCTTTTGGCATCGATTGCCACCCCTGCCCTATTAGAGCTGTTTGGCTATCATTTCGCTTCGTTACTGGGACGGGGGCGGGGTGAACGCGAAGACGGTATGTGGGGAGGGACATTCACTAGGAACTGAATTAACCCACAACTTGGCAAAATAAACGGAGTTTTTCAACGGGTCCTTCATGTAACTCCCCCTCGTCTATTACGCACCGCGCTCCTGCCGTGTCTACATGACACTCGAGCATAGTCCGGACAAGAAACATGTCGGGAGTCACGCTCGTAGGCCCGTTGCCCCGATAGCTGTGGACGATCTGAGTACTCTTTCACAAACTTCATTCTCAAGCAGGACTGCTATACCGAATCTCTGAACGACGCATGGTTTTCCCAGCCTTGCGGTTCCGATCCAACGCCATTCGTAGCCACGGCGTTATCTCCACTATAGAATTAAGTCAAAGGTAAACAATTCGCTGAATTGAACATTTCAGGAATTACAACCGCTTCCCGATGGAAAATATCACATTGTCAGAAGAGTCGTTGAAACTGGACAACCTCCCAACCTACCACCCGGTCACGGAGGCCAACAGAGTTTTCCTTATCCAGGTGGAGGTCAGCAACCTGGAGGAGGTCACAACGCTGGAGCCGAGATCAGCAACCTGGAGGAGGTCAGCAACCCGGCTCATCGTACCCCGGTCAGCAACCTGGCTCATCCTACCCTGGTCAGCAACCTGGCTCGTCCTACCCTGGTCAGCAACCTGGCTCATCCTACCCTGGTCAGCAACCCGGCTCATCCTACCCTGGTCAGCAACCCTGGCTCATCCTACCTGAGTAGCAACCTGGCTCGTCCTACCCTGATCAGCCAAAACCTGCTCGTCTAACCGCTGGTCAGCAACTGGATCATCCTACCCTGGCCAGCAACCTGGCTCATCCTACCCTGGTCAGCAACCTGGCTCATCCTACCCTGGTCAGCAACCTGGCTCATCCTACCCTGGTCAGCAACCTGGCTCATCCTACCCTGGTCAGCAACCCGGCTCATCTTACCCTGGCCAGCAGCCGGATTCTCCATATTCCGATCGAGACGAGCCACCCAGCTCAGTACATGCCCCTGACCCTGGAGAACCACCAAGCGTGCCGGATGGCTTGAGCAAGACGCAGCTACCTCCACACTATGGAGGAGGAGCCCCGCCTTCACACCCTCAACATTATGGCAGTGGAGATCGTGAGGTTCGTTTATTGCTCTTTTACCTAAATTTTTCGTATTTTGAACGTTTATCTTCTCCAGTAATATTTTAATTTTTACATAAACTAATTTCGTCATTCACAACTGTTGAACCTACCCAAACTCCTGCCAGTCATATCACCAGTACCTAACATTCAGACCCTCCCACCAATCCAGTACGACGAAACCTGGTATGAACCGCCTGGCCAGGGATCTTACCCAAGACTGGTAAGTCTTAATTTCAATCATAGTTTCGCTACCTGTTGAGCTGAAGTCCTCAAAGGCACATTCCGCGATGAGCGCATAGGCACGGAGTGGGCGGAGACTTCCAACCAAAGCACCGTTCTCAGTGGGTGGCCTCTCCTTTCAATGAGTTGGAAAGAACACGCGTGCCAATGGGGGACGCACATATTGACATAAGGTATGCGTCTCCGCCCACATTTACGCCCATCCGGCTATCGCGGAATGCTCTTTGGCGTGAGATTCTGCCAGGAAAATAGTCGTTGTTGGTCTTATCGCCTTCATTTCAGTTGTTCTCGCCCCACCATGGTTGGCGTGAGATGACGGAGGACGAAGTTCGAAGAGTAAGACGAATTCAGCCGCTCGCGGATTACGATCCGCTGCTTTCTAAACCCGTTGATAGGCTCCCCGATCAGAATGGTAGGACTCCGCCAGGAGCTGGTTCCAGCGATCCTCGCCAACATCAGCCTCATCCTCACGAAATGCATCATCCCGACCATCCACCTCATCCTCATGGCCATCCACCTCATCCTCACGAGCATCCACCCCATCCTCACGACCATCCACCTCATCCCGGCCATCCACCCCATCCTCACGATCATCATCATCAACATGACCCACGCGTTCATGACCCACGTAGAGTGCCTTCTCCTCAGAGTCCCGATTCTTCGGATGAGGAAGTTAATCCCATGGTGGAACGCAGGACAGATAATTATGGACGCACGTGGATTCTGCGAGATGGTCGATGGCATCCAGAAGATGGAAGTGAGCCTGGAAGTGACGAACGGCGAGCTCCCTCTATGGGAGACCCTGTTGATCCACGTGGGGAATGGGTCTACCGAGACGGAATGTGGCATCGTCGTGAACCACACCATCAGCATGAACAGCAACAACCACACCATCAACACGATCAACGGCAACCCCACCCTCAGCATGAAGAACGACAGCCACACCATCAGCATGAACAACAACAACCACAGCATCAACATGAGCAGCAACAACCACATCATCAACATGAGCAGCAACAACCACATCATCAACATGAGCAGCAACAACCACATCATCAACATGAGCAGCAACAACCACATCATCAACATGAGCAGCAACAACCACATCATCAACATGAGCAGCAACAACCACATCATCAACATGAGCAGCAACAACCAC